TGTTGTTGCTGGTTTTGCTTATGGCTAATATTGAGGATAAACAAAAATAAACAACATGAAAGAGGAAGGAAATCACAGAAAGTAAATAAAAACTACAGTAAAACCTCGTTAACTCGACACCCGGTAACTCAACAGTCAACAGCTGACAGGGTGGGCGTTTAGTTGGCTTTGTCTTACTAGTGCGTTCGACTTTTCAAGGACGGTTGAAGACTGTTTATAAGATTCGTTGAAGATTGTTTACCTACTCAATATGTAAAAATACTCATGTAAGTACCTGATAAATTGATATGTAAAAATTAGTCTGTCAAGTATTCATTTATTTAAACCCATTACCCATTAAAATTTCAATTTTTAGGATAACTTGACAACCCCCAAACTTGAACACCTCTGAGTCCAGTAAATTGTTGAGTTAGTGAGGTTTTGCTGTAGTTCAAAGTAATATCTACCTACATACTATAGAACAAAAGTAATTTCAATCCTAAAAGTAGATAATTTTTTAAAAATAATATTGGTATCAACCAGTAAAAAATCCTTGTTTTACAAATGGTTATAGACCATGTATATTAAGGAGGAAGGTATGAGGGATAACAGAGAGTCAGACCACTAGACGTTAGGGGTGTTAAATAATCCCTGTGGCAATAAATTATAAAATCAAATCATCCTTTATTGAAATAAAACTTAAAAACTTTGGCATGAGTCAAGTACAATATTAACTACACTCTAATATGAAACATACATTGAAAAGAGAAACCTCTAACTAAAAATCATACTTAAAAATCCATAGACAATATAAAATGCTCCCTTCAGTAAATAATTTTTAAGTCACCTCCCAAAATGTACCTGGTACATTACAACCTTTAGACAGTTAAGCTGGGTTTTCCTAGACGCGAAAGCAGAGAGGGAAACGGAGAGAGCGGACTCCTCTTGTCTTAGGTAATTTAATGTTACTGTTTTCCTAGAAGCGGAGCGCCATGCTTATCGCTTTTCTGCTCTCCGCACTTCGCTTCTGCGCCTAGGACAACCCAACTTCAGGCAACCCATTGTAAAACTTGATAGCAGAGTGGTAAATATTTCTTTTAAAAAAGGTAGCTCATGCATGTGAATAGGAAGATTCCGTCTTTGACTACAAGTAAATTGATTGTGTTTCTAAGTTAAAGAGATGTATATTTTTAATAAATAACATTATGGTACCAAAAATGTATATACAGGGAAATGTTAAGAAGGTTCCACCCCCGGCTGTTTACCACATAAACATGGTCATGCAAAAAAGAACCTCCTGGTATTATTAAAGTGTTTATCGAGTTGACATAAACTATTCACAAAGATCCAAACTATGCTCTGGCTGAGCTAAAACTTCATAATTTTTTCTTCAATTATTTACAAAATCATTTTGAAAATCCTTATATACGTCTTTTTCACATGTAATTTTAACTTCTAAATAGTTAATATAATTTTCCTACAGTTACCTAACAATGTACATGTTCTCTCACTGATTTGAGAAAGCAAAGTGGCCAATTCGCTCATCAGTGAGACAATGTTAACATTGTCTTACTCTAATTACTTTGTCTCACTGACTCCAGATTTGCAACGTGAAGGCACGAAATAGTGAGCGCGTAACATGCAGACAAGGTCGTATGCACGCGAAATACGTTGGCAGCACTGGCTGTAAATCAGCTGGTCAGCTGTTGTATCATTAAATGTCATATTAAAAGTTCACTTCTGTGAAAAAATTTGTCACGTTTCATTACTAATTTATTTGTTGTATGGTAACTGCAGGAAAAATATATTGTGCAACTCGAGTGCAAAGTGCAACTGCCTCACTCGAGAAACCATTCGTCACTCGCCTACGGCTCGTGAGTAAGTATTTCTCTCGAGTGAGTCAATTGCTCCCTTTGCTCAATAGTTGCACAAATAACTATTTTTCTCCACCCACTGCAAGCTCTGATATGTTAAAAGCACAACAAGAACACATTCATTGGAAACAAATTAGTTTTAGGATGTTGAGAGCTTGTACTGTAGAGGCATGTTCAGGAACATCAGCATGTTTAGCCGCCATCTTGAATTGACCGGGTAGAACCCTCTTAAAAGAACATACTTATGGAAGGTTTTCCTACAAGACCGTCGCTTCTTTAGGCCCATGATAATTCTTATTACATGCTTTTGAAGGCTGAATATGTATTTTGTAGTCTTTCCAGATCCCCAAATGGGGTACAGCATAAACTAGATGAGAGTAGAGGCATCCATATACTGTAATAAGCTGTGAGTAATAAATTGGTGTTATTATAGAAAGATAACTTACAAATTCCATAGGTTGAAGAAGATAATTGAGATGCCTAAAAAAAATTAACCAAAGTGGCAGTGGGGGAAGGGTTCTTGTTTGCGATTGCCACTCTATTTGAAACGTTGTAGCGTTATAGCCCAGATCATTTTTCAAATCTGGTCAGACAAATTTGTAGAACAATAAAAACAGATTCACATTCAAACGCTCTGCTTCCCACCTGCTGTTGAATACTTAATATATTGTTGAAAAACCATTATCTCGATGTGAACATTTCATAAATTCAATTATCTCACAGCTAGCAGGATTTTTGATTGCAGCACACTTTTTCAACTTAAATATCGCAACAGCGCAAAGCTTCTACACTGTGATGGCTGGACAGCTGAGGACTGAGGAGGTAAACACGTCTGTACTTGAAAGTGTGTGCCCCAAGCAACATAAGACGGAAACGTTCCTTACTTACTGAATATCCCTTGTATAATATGGGCAGTAATATGGCCCCCACTTTGTTATATATTTACCACTTTGTTGAATGTTTATAATTTGAACTTATTAGCTATGTAGTTTAATATTCTGATGGCAGTGAGTGTTTATAACCAATAACCTCTCAGAGCACTTATAAATAGTAAGTGATTGTTAAATTTTAAAGTTGGTGGTAGCATTTTACAAACTTTGATATTTTTTTATAGTTATGTTAGTTTGAGTAGTATGGCAAATAATATTGTACCTCATTCATACAAAAAGTGTTTATTGTACTTGTAAGGTAATTACGTAACAACCTCATATGCCCCCCCCCCCCCACCCCATCCCTGGAACAAACATACTCGTTCGGTAATCACCTTTTTTTCTGGCTTGGTAACATAATATACTATTTTGAGGAAGTTAAATATGACTACATAGATATTTTTATTAGTGATTCATATTAATTGCAGATTCTTTTAAGAGTAATTATTATATTATATAATTATAGCATTATGGCATTAAATAAAAGATGTATTTACACAAAATTGAAAACAACATATTTACATTTTTTCTCAACCCCCTTTTTAGCAAAATTTTTGCAGATAGTATTGCAAAGATAGGGAATCAAGAGTTGAGCATTAAACTGAGTAGAAATGTATAGTTCTGTTAGTAACTTATTTTATTTTGCAAGTTGGTTACACTGTAGTTATTCAAGTAAGTAAAAGTATAACTTTTAAACCCCTCTTAAAATCTGGAAACCACTATACCATGTAATATTTTATCAATATCTATTATTTACCATAATCAGGTAAAATAGTTTTTATTTACTTCTATGAAAGGTGATGTTGTTACCTTTGTTAATAAATTCATTAATTAATATTTCCAATTTGTCCTCCTCGCTTGTTGATTAAGTTATGTTTTTATTATTTAACTTCCCTTAATGTGAAAAGTTTGTCATAATGTTGTACTATTGAATTTTAATCCTTTCCCTCATCGTTTTTGTCCCCTTCCAATATGATTATTTCACTAAACCACTAATGCTTAAGAGATCGTCATTGTTTTTGAGGTGACGTTTAAGCTCATTCTTTTACAGATCTAAGAAGGAAATATACATTCATCTTAGTGTTTACACAAGATGGTGCTGCTTTCAAAATTCCATTGTTTTTATTTTATTAAAAATGCATTACCAATTACAATTTTATGCTCCCCTTTTTTTACCTTACCATTGTAATCTTTATCATAAATTTCTCTTATGGCTTTGTATCCTTATCTTGTTCCTGAAAAAACCAAGTCATTTTGAAGAAGTTGATGATTAGAGTTTTGATTTTGAGCCTGATGATGATATAAAATTAAAACCACAAGCATATTTACCGAAGGTTGTGTAAGGAACAATGCGCCTTACACCATTTTAACATTTTAGTAGCAATTGAGGGTGTTACTCTTAAATATAGTTAAATATAGCTAGTCAAAACTGAACTGACTTGACTTTTTTCCTTAGCAAATTCCTGAAACTCTTTGTTTTGGTGAGGGAAGGGGGCACGTGGCTAAATTATGGGAGATTTGCGCTCCTGACGTTGTGAGGGATTATTAGACTATATCCATGCATGGGAAGTCCATTAACTTAGAGTAGTGAGGCGTAAATGTTTATTCATAATACACGTTCAACAATTTTATATTCCCAATGTATTTGGGTATCCTATTGACTCATTTGGGAAAATATACTGTTGAACAGGAGAAAACACAACTCATAAACAATTAAATAAACAATTAAACTTGTATTTATTAATCACAAATACAATTATTTATACACCAAAACTCATTGCAGTGACACTTAAAATATGCCAGAAATATGTTATTCACTATAACATTTCTTGTTGTTTAATTCTTTGTGTATTAAGTTTCCATGTGATTTATGTATGACAGAAATGTGTTTACTCCTTAAATACTATTTTAGTGTTTTAAAGAATATTTTGTCCAAAATAAGTCATATTAATTTTATTTGTTGGGAACAATTTATACTTGCATTTTTACTTATGTAGTTCTAAATCAAAACTAATAGATTTGTGATTGATGAATGTGAATTTTGTATTTTACTTCTGATGTTTCCGATACAAGAAAAATCATCGCTATAATTTCACATATTATGACAAGTAGAAAAGTTGGTTCTACTTACTAGCCCTCAACAATGAATTTCCAATAGTGAAATTACTTCTGATAATAACCCCCCCTTCCCCCCCCCCTTCTGACCCCCCCCCCCTGATAACCCTTCAGATAATAGTTTTACTTTAATTTAAGAACTGTCCTAAACAGCCTGTTTCATTGATTTCATGGCAAACAGGATGTAATTGAATCTGATCATTTTAAGTACTCTTTTCATTATATTCCAAAATATAAAAACAGTTTTTGTGTTTAATGTTGGTCACGTTTGAAAGTGCTGATATTGACTTAACATTTATCTCTCATTTTAGAGAATATATTACAGTTTGTACCTTCTTCTTTGGTTATAATTTAAGATAAGTACTCCTATAAAAATATCTTGTTTCTGTCAGTTAAAATATGTTTTTAAAGTTCATTAAACATCAAGAGGCAAATAGTAAACAACAACTGAACAAAGTATCTGACTTTAGAATTAGGAATGAACAAACCTCAAAATTGTCTTCAGCTGTTCTATAAAGATGGTAAATCTATGTAACGAAGAGTATTTTATCTGATATTAAAAACAACTATGTAAACAAAGAACAGCTGTCATTGTTAGTAAAAGTAAATTTATAAAATGTCTAAGGTTGTTTGATGAAGTAATAACAGAATTAAACCAATTTACCAGATGTTTTTGAGTTAGGTATGATGAGGTTAAGGAATGTTTTAGAGTAAAATTACTATATTTTATGGCATTTCTGACAATTTTAAATGTCATTGAACAGTAAGTAGATTTTTGGTGAAAATGGCAATGTATAAATTACTCTACATAGGCCTATTTTACATATTAATCATAAAGACAAGTGATCTTTGGCTTTGATGATCATTTAGCGGTTTATAAATCAATGAATGTGGCTTGTGAAACAATGCTTAGCAAATTAATACAAATTCACACAGATACTATACCACGAATCTGCCTTAGTTTACAGACCCAAAATGATTTTTGTAACACTGGTGCAGCATTAGAGAACAAATCGGAACTCTGCAATGACAAAAACGTTGCATTTCATCCAGTGTGAAAAAAGGCCTAAGTGTATATAAAATTGTACAAAACACAAACATTTGCTTATAAACTATGTGTTATAAGAACCAATGATTGAACTCAACACAGTCCAAGGTTAAACTAACGTCCATAACGTAAAAACCCCTTTATGTCAGACCCCATGGACAATGCTAAAAATATTTTATATGTCTTGCTAACAAATATTCAATGATAGCACCCCAAAAAATAAAAATAAACAAAAACACATCAGCCAAAAATCACTGGTAGAAACCACTTGAATTAAACTAATCATATTCACAAAATATACACAACTTATCCCATATATAAAGAAATTAATACTAAAGCAACAACATTCAAAATGGCCACTTGCACACTATGTTTGCATTATGTACACCTATGTGTCAAAAATGTTGGAAGAATAAATAGCACAGTGTATTCAACATGTGCAAGTTTGTTTGCCCTTGAAATAGATTAGGACACAATTTGTAAACGGGAATGATTCCTTTGTGCCTCACCCTGTTAAGATATGGTATGAACAATTATAGTAACAAATACCATCCATGGTCTTAAAGGAATCAGATTTTAGCAAACCTTTGAATAATATAAACTTGTTTAGCAATAAACACACATCATTAAACTGTATTCAAAATTAAAGGATTCCCCTAAAAGGTGTCCTCACTAGGTTCTTAAAATTGCAGTCCACAAAATATGAGTTGATATTAATTTCAAGGGTCAGCTACCATTTTTTTGTGGTTTCACTGATTGTAAATAATTGTTAAACTAAACTGTCACTATTTCCCTTAAAAGATGTAATAAATTATTATGATTGAAATCATAGTATAGGATAGTTAATTTTAGATGATGAAATGTGTTCAAAAAGTACAAGAACATGGAAATAAAAATATTTTTCAATCATGAAATAATAAAATTGTGTCTTTACTGTTCTAAGAATGTTCACATTATTATTATTTTCTCAAGATGTTGAAATAGTTTTTATCAAACTAAATGATGGATATTTAATAAATATAGCCTGTACACTGGATATTTTAATAATGGAGACAGTTCAATAAAATTTGAGTTGCTATAAATAATAGGACAAATTTCAAATAATTCAAATCAACCTGTCAAAATTATTCCTTGACTCTTTACCAAAAATAGGAGGGCTCCTATTCTTAGCACATGAACAAATCTTGGCACTTGAAATAGAAACTGTTTTGCTTCCCAAGATATTTTAACAGCAAGCCAATTGATCTAAACATTACCTAACAACAATTGTAAAATTAGGTTTCCAAGCTTTATTGAAGTATTTCTAGAGTCTAACACACAATATTAAGATATAAGATAGATACAGAATTAATTCACATGAAAATCATACCCATAAAAACCAGAAAATCTCATATAATTTAGTTGTAATATGTAAACAAAATATTTTGCGTATGTGTAGCTTACCAAACAAAAAATCTAACTTTGTGTCAAAACTTAAGATAAACTTTGGGTGAAAACAAAACAATTAGAAAAATGTAATATAATAATTAGGTACATGAACTAAACCGTACAAATATAAACAAAGTGAATAATGATTTTCCTTTTGAACTTGACCCTTTCAATTGAATCAAATTGATCACGACAAATATATTAAGGTTTTTACTTTGGCGTGAGTATTCTAAAATTTCCCTGGATACCTAGTATGAATTTTGTTAATTTTCAGTTTTTTATTCACAATTACAAAACACTTCAATGCACATCAAAAAACGGTTTGAAAAATTGAATTGACTTAGCAATACTGGAACTCGAAGAACATGAAAATTCACATCACAACCTAACAGACAAGTGGGAAAACTACTTGAAATTTATATCCATGAACAATCCAATGAAACTACTACTAATGAACTGCTAAGTGTACTGTATAAATATGAGATGGTGTTCTTAACCTAAAACCTTTCACTCAGTCTTAACCGAGAAAGAAGACTTAAGTATAAACAATCAACAAAACGTTTAACACTTTAATCCTATAACCGGTTGTATGTTGTCGGTTTTCTTTCTGTGAAAAAATTTTTTACTATAAATACTTGGCCTATGGATACAAAAAGGATCAAGACAGTTTCCATGAGCGACCACCAAAATACTCTATCGTTGAGATCTTCCGCTCGTTTTCTCCCTTGAGCCTCTCGTAGCCGGTGGTGCGTCTGATAGTCAATGATGCTCTTCAGAGACTGGTGGATTTCTTGAGCAGACATTTCCATCTACAAAATAATTGAATTATTGACACTGTATACTTGGATAGCTACGTTCAGCAAACAAGCAAAAAACCTTACTTCTCCTAATATTTACAGAAACAAACCTTGTTTGTGGTTAACTTTGCATGATTGTAAATAAAAATGTAATTGTTATGTTACACGCTGAATTTGTGTAATTTTATTCGTCAATAGATAATCTTTCAAGATCGAGGCGGCATCGGTAAAATCATCTACAATCACTGTGGGTGTAATGATGATTATCCTACGCGATCGCGGCGTAATCATGATCATCTACCACAATTAAGGACAGCACGATCATCTACCGACATCGCAGAAAAATCGCAAACTTCTCCTACAATTGTCAAGACAACGCAACATAGCTTGGCTACTGAGTTGGTGTTTAAACAACTTGAAGATCTCTAGCAAACTTTTGTTTAAACAAAGGAAAACTTAAGGTAATTATTTTTGATCAGAGTTAAGCCTTTGAGCTTTAACAAAGACTTAATTATATATCTGAGACTGAACAAACACGACTTTGAACTACAACTGACTTGTCCCAAAAACAACTAAAACAAAAAAATGCCCAGTTATGAAAACTACATTAGTGGCTACTTCCCAACAGAAAAACTCACTACTAGTAATGTATTTTTCATTAAGTGTATAAATAAAAACCATCCAGAACTACTTTACTCTGTGAACTGTCAGTGTGTAATGAAAATTGTAACAGCAAAGCAAAATTCACAACAAAATCACAACACAAACGAAAACAAAATCTGTAGTGTAACACCAAAAACTGCAATCCAGGCCTCATTGTTTTTTCCATGCAATTGTACAAGTAGAAGTAAAACAATTTTAAAGAGAAAAATTAAGCAAAAACTAATAAATAAAACATGAAAATACAAGAGAAATTGTGCACTAACAAACTAGGACCATTTTATGTTGCTCATTTATAACAACAGGCAATAGCTTAAATTCCCTGAAACTAATGAAAAGGTTTTATTTCAGCTGTGCTTTCTTTGATTGTACAGCATGATATTCCTACATTACAATTGTTAAAGAACAGACCAAGTTGGAAAATAACCTATCCAAAATTATTAAAATTAATTAAACTCTGTATGTGTGGTTTTAAGCCCATAAACCACAATAAAACCGAAGTAATTTATTTGCAACGGTATCAATACGACCATGGAGAATATAGGACAATAGTGAACACTTTATAGGAAAACACTAGTAAATTACAAACACTATTGTCATATTAACTACCTACATGATTTTCTTTATCAATCAATTAAAAATTGACGAAATTGAAAATGTGAATAAAAATGTACCTATATAATATTTAGTAAACATTGGTTAGGTTTGAGAACGTTAGTTATCAGGAATACTACAGTTTTTGTTTGAACTTTAAAAACGTAAATTAACCAATTTAGGAAATCCATATTGCCAAAAGCGAAACATGTACAAAATTCCTAACAGAAAACAAACAATAATATTTATGTCAATTACGATACATAGATATCCTAAATCAGACATTAAACATTTTTTTAGATAACCTGTACATTAATTGCCACATGGGAGTTTTCAGTGCCCAGACATAAAACCACCACCAAACAAAGCTCCACTCCACACATAATTTAGAACGTAACTCACCGATTAGTTAATTTTTCTCTTGCAGGCAAACATGCAACTATTGCGAAATTTATCGTGCAAATGTTGTTAGAAAAAGAAACATGGTGATTTAGCACTTGATGATTTATAATTTGGAACGATTCTTTGGCGTTATATTGAATACCTACATCAATTTATTTTTTTTTTATAGAGTTTCAAATTTAGAGAAAATATGTTTTTGCAATCGAACCAAACTGTAACGAACGGATTTGATTTATCCAACTATGGACTAAAAACATACACTGATAAGACTCAATGGACAAAGGAAAATGTAAAACTAAGAATGCAATTACAGTATGAGAAAAATAAATTTTTTCCCTAACCATTGAGCGCATAACAACGCTTCAATGTAAGAAATTATTAATTTTTTGTATGCTCTACAAAATGGTTAAGAAAGAAATTGAGAAACATTATGTTTTTATAGTCCATAAGTCCATATAGTCCGTTAGAGTGAACAAAAGTTTACACGCTTATACCAATTTCATCATTCAAAATCGGATAGTTTTAGCGAACGGATGATGTTTTTGGCCTCTAGGGACATCAAAACGAAAAGGTTAATGTCCCAAATCCATGTCTTACCATGAGGCCTACGGTAATAAATTATTCCCTAATGGGCAACTCGCTAAAATCAAAGTCTTGAAAGACATATTCTATTATAGACGTAGAATATCACAAACCCATATAATAATCAATAAATTATTCAGCACTACACAGACCTAAGCACAACAAGCAAGGTGCATGTTTTTCAAAAGTGCAGAGCAAATGGTTACTTGTTAGAACATATCTTGGACTCTCACAACACATAAAAGACTTTAAACTATTAGCAAAAACAACATTCGAAACATTCAATCCTTCTTGCCAAACTAATTTCTACCATTAAAACTATACTAAGCCTACTTCATTCATCACTTGACAGGAAATGTTACTAAGAGTAAAGACTACCAAAAGGGTACATCGAGATGTCAAATATCATATGTTTTAACAACCATTTTAGTAGTAATACAACACCCAATTCACCTAAAACGATCTAAAATCACTTTTAAACTATTCTATGTCATCTAAGATTTTCTTGAATGACTCGATTATAGATGAAAATCTACTTATGCCAGAAGGTGTCAAATGTAGTTATTTTTTACACTGTAGGCCTACATTTTTTGAACTTATTACGGCTCATCTTCAGCAGCATGTTACAGTATTTACAATAAAGCCAAAAGAGTGATGTTTGTTGAGTATTTACAAACACTTATATACACACAGAAATAAACATAAGAACAACCAGTCAGCTGACACTAACGTCATTCTCCCGTGTTTTTCAGTAGGTCTACGAATTTATTCTGGTTTTGATAACTCCAAGCGTGCGTACCAAATTATTTATGAATACCGGCAAAATGATACGTGTAATGTTTATTTCTGTGTGTATAAGTGTTTATTACCATAATTTATTGAGTTAATTGGACTATTTATTGTAATAATAGTGTTTGAAATACTTAACAATTCGCTCGATGGGATCTATTATAAATACTGTAGGCCTATATGAATGCTGTGAAAATGAGACGTAAAAAGCTAGAAACATGTACATCATGAAAGATGACCATATTTGAGACCCTCTGGCATACGTAAGTAGATTTATAATTAAATATCAAGGTTGTCAAGGCTGTTCAATTTGAAATGTCTTATGACTTTGAACGTGCATGGACTTACTTGTATTACTAAGTTAATTAAATAAATAAGCAACACCATCAATTAACAGGGGAACACAGTGGGAATCAGGGGTTTGGGTGAGGGAGATCTCCAACGTGGACATAGAGAGAAAGGGTAATTAGCCTGGGAAAAGGGTAATTTATGGGTAGTTGGTCGGGTAAAAGGGTAACTCAATGGAATACAAGGGTAACTCAATGGAGTAAGCTCAGGGGTACTTCAATGGAAATTAGATATTTCCCCAAAATAGGGAAATTTAGTCAATACCAACCTAAACTCTAATGAATTTTTGGAACAGGGATAGTTTTACAATTAACATCGGGAAAAAGTGTGACCTTCAGGAAAGAGAGAGATATTTTATTGGTTGTCGTGGTACTGTCGTGACACGTGTCACATGACTTGTTGGAGCATTGCTTGGTTTGTGATTTCTTTGTCTAGAACCTTCTCCTTGTTAGTATGAATGGAGGATGTAGCACAAATCGAGTGTGACAATGACTTTGTACCTTGTGTTTCACTGACTGATTGTAGGTGTGCTGACATTATTTTGTTTCTGGTAGGAAACGGGGTAGTTACCCTTCAAAACTTCAATACACACATTTTTTCACAATTTCATGCTTCAAGAATGGTGTTTTGGGTGAGGTGGGTTTTGAGTATTTTTACCAAAATGCCAACCTTTTTAACAGTGTATTTTCCATCGATGTTGATTTAAGATGATCACGAATTCCAACTAATGACAGCATATAGACCATTTTTCAAACTTGCATGGTTTTAGTGTTTATGGTCAGAGTGGTTTTGGTGAGTTTTTATTATGGATATTACGGATCTCAAAACTATCTACATATAGTTTATCCATTAAAAACTAAGGCTGAACTAGCCTACAAAAACCTTTTAAATTTTTTCAGACATGTTGATTGTATATTTGTGTCTCAACTCAATATTATCCTTTTATCCCTTAAACATTCCAATTATTCAAAAGTGGTTGCAAATTTTGACTTATTTAACAAAAGTGTGTTCATTTCTTTGAGGTTCCCAATGTCATAATTGTAAATGACTAGTTTACAACATTGATAACAAATAGTAGTTAGCCTACAGACTTTATTTATGATTTAAATCTGTTCTGTTGGTTTTAAATCATATTCATAACCTCAGGAGTAATTTTGGTTCATTTATAAAGCAAAGAAATTAAGAATGATTTCAATTTAGGGTTGCGAAATAGTACAACAAATTATGTAATAGGCCTAATGGATTTAATTGTTTTTCCAAAGAATTTTATGTTCAGTACCTTGAAATTTCATTAATAATGCTGTGAAAATAAGTGGAGATAAGACTAAAGCAATCCCTGACACTAATAACAAGAAGCACCTAACTTAATGTATTTGTTAGTATGCCTTTCTTAATACAGATACATCTTGAGAATAAAAAAAAAACATACAGTCTAAACGTAACATAAATAGAAATTAAGATTCCAGATTAATAGTAAACTTGATTACTGTATGTAGCAGAGAGAAAATAAATAATTGGAGTGTATGCATTACTTACTGAACCAATGAACGATATTGTAACGCTTTTTTTTCATTTTAACAATATAACGAATAATAAAACGGGCACTTCCCAACAAAACATGTATCTATTATTTATTTAAATCATAATCAAATTCAGGTTAAGCTGTTGGGTGAGAATTTTTAACCCATCAATTTTCATCATGAGAAGGCTACAAAACCACAATCACGGGTCAAATTTAACCACTGATACAAAAACCACATCAACATTTCCACAGAAACTAACGGAAGTAAAGTTTTTTGCAGTTTGGCAGTTATTGTTCTCCTACAAATTTTTTTTCACTTACCTGTGTCATAACGGTGGCGTGTTCCCCCACCCCTGGCAACGGTGGTTCGTCCCCGACCTGGAGATCCATGTAGACCAGCTTGTGACTGAAAGTGGAGAACTCATTGCTGAAACACACGGCGTACGTGCCTTCCTTGACTGTGGTGAACATGTGGGTGTCAAACTGAGACTTGACTTGTCGATAGATTATCTCTCTCGTCGGATCTTCCAGGGTAACATCTACATCGTATGACCCTCCTGTTACCACCTGTAAAACAAAAAGGTTGTAGCAAACGTGATTTTTCTCATGATTAGACTGTGGATTGAATAGGTATAAGTGTTTCACAATGAATAATTCACACAGACAACCCGACCCTTCCATACCTTCATCTTTGATTGTGTTGGCTGTGGGCATCATCAATCTGTTGGGTGTTTTTCTCCCAAACTCAATCAGACATTTTTACTATCAGTATAGGCCTATGCCATATTTAAAATTTGGTCTGATAACAATCAGGCCAAGGCACAACTACCTGCTATCCCATAATCATGGCATGTAAGTAGAGTCAGTTTTAAATCGGTTTATTGTTTGGATGCATATTGTAGTCAGGAAGTAAATTTAAAAAAAAACATTCAAGTTTATTTACATTTGGTGATGGTGTTTAAAAAGTTTTACTTTTGACATGAAAAGTTTCTACTGGGGCCTATGTGAGATATGTGGCACTGGGTGTCTGGTTAACATATGTCTAAGATAACCTGAAGTAGGCCTAGATAAGAGTTAACAAGTGAGTACTGAAGGTAGAAGTGACAATACATTTATAACAGATAAGAATAGCCTATGTCAACGTTATCACTTTTCGTAGCCAAAGGACTTAGTAAGCTGTAGAGAGACCAATGTATTTATTTACATGTAAGGTTTCATGAAGGGAATGTTTTTTGTAGGGTAAATTTATTTACAGAGCAAAAAATGTATAGTTGCAAAAACGCTTAACAACCTTAAGTATAATCGAATCAGTGTTGTGTAGACCTACTGAAGACTATTGAAAATAAAAATAGTAATGAAATATATGCGTCTGACCAAAAAGATACACCAACGAAATGTGTGATATTTGTTAGGCTAAATAACAAAATAACCACCATTTCACATTCTTAGAGGGCCTGAATTCACAAAAGTTAGTACAGTTCCAAACGCTAACTTTATAAACTGAGATTCAAATGCACTTAGGTTAAATTGAAACTCATATGTAGGCCCTAACTTTAGATGGTCTCAGGGACATAATAATGTACAGTAGTCTCGATTATCCAACCTAAACTAGGCATGATAAGGTTGGATAACACAAATATAATTAAAAAAAGATTATAAAATTATATTTCAAAAGTTTCTTTGTAGTCAAAATCCAGCTTTAAGTTTATGTTCCACTGAAACAATTAAGTATCATGGATAAAATATCAAATAACTTTACCGAAAATAAGAAAAATACCAAACTGGCACTGGAAAATATTAGATGAAGCCCACATCTACCCTGGGCGAGAAGCCCTAATCTAACCTAACTTCAAAACACTTAATGCAGGCACCAATTCGCATAAAGCACGACCTACCACCCTGACATGCCTAAATAAGAACTACGAGTAATTAGTCCATTATTCCATCTATATCTCCATAATGTGACAAAATTCCTATTGTAGAAAACATTATTGACTATAGAATCACTTGATATGTTTCTACAACGATGTTATTATCTTTAGTCAATGATGTTATTCTTAACCTTAACTAACTAATCTTCTCATCAACCGTTACTCTCTTCACTAAACCTGAACTTGTGATGGCGACGGCGTAGCAGAATAGCACTACGCAACACGTATGAGTATGAATGAGTATTTTTGTTTTGTATTTTATTTGTAGTGAAGTAAAATTATGTCACTAGTATAGGCATATTGCCAGCGACAGAATCAGAGTGAGTTAATGAAGTTCAAAAGTTGTTACTTCCAGTTCTTGTCGTGTGGTTGGTTGAAAACAATCAGCTGTAAGTAGGCTTAAGGCTTAGTTAAGCTACAGTTCATTCCACTTGTAAATGTCATCCATCCTACCTTGTTTATTCTAGGCCTAATGTTGTATATTATTATTACAGTGATATCATGAGAAATATTCATCAGCGGTGAAAATTAATGGTATAAGTTATTTGGATTCAGGAGGTAAAAAACTATAAAGTAAGATATCAAAATTAAAAATTCGTTTGGCGGCACCTGTACGGAATAAATACCCAAAACTTATTTAGTTAGGCTAGGTACAGTACTATAAGGCCTAGCAAGGTCATAAATTTAGTTGTTGTCTACCAAAGTTATACGAGTTTTAAACCAAATAAAGTAGGCTATTAGGAACCAGGAAAATTCGTTCCTTGATAGGACAGGTGTAAGCTTTGCCAACTGGCAGGCTCAACAGTCAACACATCCTTATCCCAATTCACATTCTCTAAACTACTCGTATAAACTATGCTTATCTTGAAATACTTAAAAATTAATGTGTGATCTCAGACCTGGAATTCAAGTGACACAGATGTATTTAATTTAATATCTTCGTAGAAACAGTCTTTGGCATTATCAAGCAATTCGAAGGTTAGCTCGACTCCAGCGGCTATTTGAAAATAAGCTAATATTACTGTAAGTACAATCCATTTCGTCCACAAACCCATCATATCACTTTTACAAGATGTGCACATCACTCAGACAACAATTAAAACCGATCACAAGTCAAAAACTGAACTCCATTGGATTACAATATAAATAGCCGCGTACATAAGATTCTGTCAATGAATGATATGATATGACAACGACAAGTGTTTGGTGTACTGCAATCATTTCACGGCAGTAGCCATAACGTGGCCGGAAATTTAATAACAGCTGACTAGGAAACATCTGGAAATTAAAGGCCAATAGAAAAGTAATACCTTCATATATGAAAATGTACAAATATACATAACAGTTATACAATAAGCATTAGACTCAGGGTGCAAAGCATAATCTTGGCAAGCTAAAGTTGGTCACTTAAACAATATCCTAAGACTTACTCTTGAAATTATTAGTAAACTTGAATTCACTACAAAGTGTAGTGGTGTTTTATTTTTTCAGCGATGAACGTTTACATAAAATAAGTTTCAGATCTCTCACTTAAGGTGAGTAATGCTTACTTGTAATACTTGTCGTCTTCGTCGTTGACCAATATGAAAATTGGATAGACTGCGTCAGAAGAGTGTTGAGGCTATTTACAGCCCAAATAGAGGTGTTCCATCTTGTAACACTCGAAGAGAGTAGAGCGGCCTTTTCACTAAGTAATCCACCTAGTGGAAAGGCATTATTGGAAAGGAACGTGGAAACTATGTCGTAAAGTCTTTGGGTTCAGGTCTTTACCTCATCCGGTAGAGCATTAAAAATCTTCAGGGCTGACTGATGAGAGGCTCGCTGTGTAACGTAATGATACAATGATACAATGATTTTATTCGGCCAATCAACAATATTATTTGTTACAGGCTATTTCAAACAATGTACAAGCATAATGCAAAGCATAAAATAAACATCAAGAGTTAAAAATCCCAAGTAGCACACATACAATAATACAATAAAATACAATATTCTGTATTGTTAATTCGTTAAGAATTACAATAGTGTCAGTGAATTGTGCATGTTAATTTCCATAATTTTCATAAAATTCCTTTATTGAGTAGAAGGGTCTTGCGATTAGCCACTTCTTCAACTCCTGGTGTAGCTTGTTGCCAGTCAGGTCTCTCAGGTAGTGAGGTAGATGGTTCCTTAGCTTGCAGCCGGTGTAGGAAGGTTTTTTCTCCCAAAGAGTTGTTCGGTGAACTGGTAGTGCAAATTTGGAGCCATGATGGGTGTTGTAGTGGTGCAGGTCTTGGTTTCTTGGGGGGTTTATTTCATTCACATACTTTATGGTTTCAAGTATGTAGAGAGAGACACCACTGTGAGGATTCCTAGGTTTGCGAATGCTAATCTGCAAGTCTGTGGTGGGACAAGGTCGGCGAGGGTCCTATGGCTCCACAGTACTATATGAGGCTACTGTAAAAATAATTATAGTTTACAATGAATATTTTTTAGAGTTTTCATTCTTATTTATGATCTAGAACTCATACTCACAAACAATAAATGGTTGATCAAATCTCTATTTTAAAGTACCGTAATGAATAAATCAATAAAGTAATGCTACAGGGGATATTAAGGATGTTAAGAACTGGCGTGGAACCACCCTTGATCTTTTATCGTAGGGAGTTTACTCAGTACAGTTTTTTTGACTGTGTAGTAAAGGAATAAATAATTAATCTATGGGCTAAGAGATTAATTACTCAAAACCAACTAATTCTATGTTTTACAAGGCTTCATGATAAAATAACTATTACCTAAGTATCTGGTACCTAAAAATCATGTGATTTTTTCGCTGTTTTGGATTGGAACTAGGAACAGGAACTGTCACTACACTACTTACTTATCGTGTTTCTGATTCATTCATACCTGTCAAAGAAAAACTATTATAACCTGTGTTAATTTTGAAAATGAACAGAATATTTGGAAAAGGCAAAGATAAAGCACCACCACCTAATTTAACAGATGTCATTCAGGGGGTAATTTTCCTTTAATACTAGTATTATACAATTGTATGTTAAAAATTTATTTGGTTCCTAGGGTAGGCCTAGTTTTTATTATGGTTAGATAGAGCCAGAATTAACTCACTTTTAGGCGACAATAAACTGCATTAGGGATGAGCATCGATGCATTAGGCACTATGCACTATGCTTTTGATTAGGTCAAACATTAATGTTCACCTTCAATGGTAACATCAATGTACCGATAACACTGTCGTGAAAACATCTTAGATGTTTTCGGGGCTAAAACATTAATGTTAATCAATGTTTTTTTTAGTTTTTTTGTCTGCTCTCTGTACACAGCTAACAGCCAAACAGAAACAGCTATCTAACCTCAAACTACAATTCAAATACAAATACAACTACAAATACAATTCAGTCATGGAAAACGTCAATATTTCAATACTTGGCAGAAAACATTGATGGAACAGAAACATCGGTAATCTACCATCGATATAAAAAACATCGAATATCGGTGTTCAAAAACATCGAATATCGGTGTTTCGAAAACATTGAATATCGGTGATTCGAAAACATCGAATATCGGTGATTCAAAAACATCGAATATCGGTGTTTCGAAAACATCGACTAACAATGCTCATCTCTACAATGCATTAGATAGCTACTGTTGGAGTAAACATGTTTGATACTTAGGCAAAACTTGATATATGACTGAATAGTACCATCAACTGTTTTAATTGATAAATGGAGCTATAGTGTTCTTAAAGTGCAATTTTATACAGGGTGACAATAAAGTCTTAGGACAATTTTATAACTTTTAAATGAAAAGATATATAACAACTAAATTTGGCATATCATTACTGGTAATGGTAAGCTACTTTTTTGTGTACGTGGTGATTGGATGTCACCTAGTGGGGCGGCCCATTTGGAAGTAAGTTGACAATCTTAAAGGTAAGCATAGAATGATATGTTTAATATGAAAGGTCTTGATGAACTTAATAACAATGCCGCAACCCGTACCTAAAATGGACAATCGAGTAAAAAATGTGGCAATTTGGTAAATATACTAGAAGAGGAGAGGTAAATAAAAAACCTAATTCTCATGGAACCTTCGTATTTGCACCCTATTGAAGATTTGAGAATTTGCTGATAATTTTGATTCCTTTGCGGCATCCCATTGATTGCGATAGGCCTATTAACTAAACACAGATTTTAAACACTATGGAATGTAGGCTACTAACCATCAGCTGGGGTTCGTTTGTTATTTCACAGGTGGATGGTAGAGCAGACTCAGTTGAGAAAAAAATTGCAAAGTTAGATGTAGAATTAAAGAAGTATAAGGATCAAATGGCCAAAATGAGGGAAGGACCAGCTAAAAATAATGTGAAGCAAAAAGCTCTCCGAGTGCTAAAGCAGAAAAAGATGTAAGTTTTCACCTTAGTTTTTAGAATCTTAGTAGTCACAATTGCTTGTTGCAAACAAATTGCTTGTTGTTTTATTGATCAAATTTAAAAAATTGCACTCACGTTCTAGCGGTAGGCGCGGACACTCTAGGGTTAATCCCTTTTGCATTTAAGTTCTTGAGTGTTGAAGCAATACATGTATCTAGATGATAAAACCAAGGTGCAACTGCTACAGAAAATTCACTACACCCACATCTTATTTTGATTTCCTCTCTTAAAGATATGAATTATGTTTTATCCTCTGCACCTTCTCTGGGAGTTCACAGAGAAATTTTAAGTATATAAATTTAAACGCAGAAACTCTTGTATTGCATGTTCAATGCAACAAGCAATACAAGAGTTTCTGCAGTTAAATTTATATAGAAGATATCATTTTGATGTGGTTGTAATTTATTTTCCTAAATAAATTAACCACAAGTGCTAATAAGACAAAAACATTTTTATCACCTAAGCCATGTGTTTTATGTCAAATTAGACATGTGAGTTGTAGAGGTACAGTAAAGCGTTGAAAAATTGGACGTCAACACACATTTTTTTAAAGCTCAAATATGTAGTGTCTTGAACATAAAAAATACTTTAAATTCACCTCTCTATTTTGACCCTTTACTGTAGGTACCTATAATAGAACATATACAATTAAAAAAGATTTTTACTCAAATAGTGGTGGGGTCCTTTTTTAGGTAATTTCGATAATCCAGATAATTTTATGATCCGTATGGAGTCGGTCCCAATCAATCCTGATTATTAATGTTCTAAGATCAAAGGAAGTTGTTTGTCTTTGATTTTAAAATGTTTTATATACAATCTTTATATAAAATATCTTGCAATGACTCAGGTATGAATCGCAAGTAGACAACTTAAGACAACAGGCATTCAATATGGAACAAGCCAACTTCGCTACCCAATCCCTGAAGGATACTCAAGCCACTATTGATGCGATGAAAGCTGGCGTCAAAACCATGCAGAAAGAGTTTAAGAAAATAAACATCGATCAAATCGAGGTTGGTTTATTACATATTTACTCTGTGTAAGTTTTTAGTCTCAAAGTCTGGAAGACTGTACCACCAACCATCAGTTCTTGGCTCACTTTACTCAACTTAAGTCACATTCTTTTGACCCCCTGATAAAAATAATGCCTTAGTGTTAGTCCAGCCATATAAGTGTTGGTCCTGAAACCATATTATACTTCTGAGTTAATAGGTACGCAATTCTTACGTATCAAATCTTCAAGATACTTCAGAAAAAAAAAGTTGTTTGTACCACATCAAACAAAACGATCTTTTTAGATTTTTTAAAATGCAAAAACTAAAATTTTTTCAAATTTTGTCTTCAAAAGTCATCTTAAAATTTTGATCTCCTGGAGCTTTTTCTTCGAATTCATTCAGTTCATAAGCCATGTCCAAAATACGTTTCTATAATTCTCATCGTTGGCCTAAAGAGAACCACTTTCAACAAAAAATTTTGCTTCATAACGTCGAAGTAAATATTGTTTTAAATATGCATCATTCAAAGTATTGTTATAGCTTTCATGTAACCTCGCTCTCATTTTAGGACCTCCAAGATGACATGGCAGATATGCTGGACTTACATGAAGAGGTACAAGAAGCTCTGGGACGAACCTACGGCACACCCGAGATAGACGACGATGAGTTGCAGGCAGAACTTGATGCTCTCGGGGACGAGATTGCTCTTGATGACGACACCAGCTACTTAGACGAAGTTAAAGCACCAGCAGCCCCGAGCAAAGAGCCTGGTGCGGACAGTGTCAAAAACAAGGTAGGGCGTAACTGTTGATTTTGCATGCCACATTTCATCTAACACAGTTCTACAAAATGAATTATTTATAATCTTCATGTTTATTGGTGAAATTATTTTTAAGACAATTGTTCATTTCTTAAAACTCTGGAATTGTATATAAGACCCTTTGATCAGAAATGCTTGATTAATTCTAAAAACATTTTCAAACATGACAATGTCTCAACTTTATGTACTTGGGATGAAAAATATTTCAATTTTTCATAGTATGGGCACTTCTTGAAATATTTTGTTCTGTGAATATGGATATAATACTTCACAGTATAATCAATGCTTGTAATGGTTATCTTACAAATGTTTCTTTATTTTAATAGTTAGTTGCAAATTAGGATTGTAAGCAAAAGTATTCACTTTTTCCCACTATTTTTTATTCAATTTAAATTATTTATACACAAATATTGTAATGGTAATTTTGTTTCTTTTTCCTGATTAAAAAGAATAAAAAACAAAATAATTCAAGATTTATATTTTGTAAAATATCCATAATATGCAACAGAAACGTTTTGATTGGGCTTACAACATATTTCCTGACATAATTTAATTACACTTCTGATTTCATATGTTTTATTGAATACTTTTGACTTTTTCAGGATGGTGTATTAGTGGATGAATTCGGTCTGCCACAAATTCCAGCATGATAAGACATGCAAAAAAACAACCTAAAGAAGTGATTCTTTGTGGGCTGCCATTTTCTTCACTTCACTAATTTTCTTAACAATGAGGCAGTAGTATTACAAAGTTAGTAAAACAAAACTATAAGTATTGTAACAATACAGTTTTATAATATTGCACTTAATCTTGTTCTTAAGTGCATGACAGCAAAACATTTTAAACATTCCTTTCATGAGAAATGTAGTTTTAAAGGGTAAGAGGTTCTAAGCAAAATTGTCTCTTGCCAACTTTAATTAAAAATAAAATGTTCACAAAATTATAAGACTGTGTTATTAAGTGTTTGTTGTTTCACAACTAAAATAATACAATATTTAATTAAAACTGAATACAAACACATTCAATTTAGAAATCACTGTTTTAAAATCTAAACTAATGTAAAAATAAAATATTAGTATATGATTCTGCACTTAGTGTAGATCGACCATGAGACAACCAAGTTATCAATTAAATGTTGTATTAAGTGCTACTTTCATTATTTACCCTCATTTTTTAGACAATTTAATAACATTAAGTTAACTAGTTTACAAAGTATTTTTACTCTACACTTGAAGTTTGTGAAAATTTTGGTTACAAATTAATGTAGGCCTAAACCAAATTATTTACTTAAGTTTTAATAATTTCTTTGTGAAAAGTCTTCATTTTTGCAGGCGTTGAGAAAGTGTGATTTAAAGTTACCCATAATATACAAAATATTATGTATTATAATTTACTATTTTTTAATCCCGATTGAGTAACTGTTTAAAACACGTATATACACCAGACCATAAACTCACATTGTTTATCTTTTCATTTAAATATTCATTAAAACAGATTGAATTACAGATATTTTTAATAGAGTTTTATTCAGTTATTTTTTGTTTATTTGAGAAGAAATACATTTTTTCTTAAGATTGAAGGGATAATGTTAATGACGTCTGATATTTCCTATTACCATAATTTTTAAATCTTTAATCTGATCACATAAGTCAAACATGTTTTAACTACTTTTTTTTAACAATTGTCTATTTGAGGTTTAAGTGTGCTTATGCAACTCAATAAGTATGTTAAAGTTTGTTAGTTTTAAGCTTGATACAGGTGTAACAGATGTTATAAAATTTTGCATAATATGTGGTTGTATATAATAAATATGTTTTTATGTATTAAGTATGTTTCTTCTTTCCTAAAACTTTCATGAAAAAGTATCTTCAATTTAATGAGCTAAGAAAAGATAAAAACCCTGGATCTTTCGCAATAAGTTAAAACAGCATTGGCTTTTGGTAACCTTAGTAAATCACTTGGAAACCACAAAAACTTTGTAAAACACTTGGAAATTACAGTGTCTTATTTTTTTAATAAAAAGTTGATGGGTTCTTTCAACCTTGCCAGTCCACTGGGTCTGGAGAAACCAGAATTCATTCAATTCAATACAATTTGTTTATTTACGGCAAAAGCCATTGTACAATAAATAATACCATTGTATTCATTACATAATTGCCATTGATTCGTCGTAGTACGTCGAGAAATTAACAATAGGATTGGATTAAAAAGGATATTTTTTGTTTTATAAATTGTATAAATTTATTATCTATGCGCATACATGACTAGAATAACAATATAGTTCTCAACATTGAATAGCTTGCTTTACAATTATTTTCAAGCTGTACAAAATAAATACACTAAATTAAGAACATATTAATTAAAACTACTAATAACTAAAATAATTTTTTGCTATTTGATATAAAAATCTGGAATGATCACAGTAGACATTAAATCTTTCATTTGGTATGGTGTGGTTTAAGAAAACATACCAATACAAAATGGATGTATGGCAACATTTTTATTGTGCAATTTATATATACTCTAAGCATGTCCAGTCGCACATTAAACATAATAAAACTGATATAACTTTTAAAAACTGAAAACAATTTAAAACTAAAACTTTATTTGAAAGTACAAAAATCATGCATCGTGGGTAGACCACTTTAATTACAAAATTTGATCAAATCAAACTTTGAATAACAATAAAGCATTCTGAGTAATAACAAATTTAGATAAATTAAACTATTTATAACAAAGGATAAATGGTCATTAAAATTATGCTAAAAAAGGTTAAAACAAATCATTCCAACATATTATTCCTATTTACAATATTGTGACTAAATACTTTGAGTAACATAAAATCTTGCTATGTGAATACAAAATTAGGAATTTAAGGTGTCCTGTATTGATAGGCTCTGATTGAAGAAAAACCTTGCATCCAAGAAGCTCAGCATGTTAACTTGTTCTTCTGTAAAACCACACATATAGAATAAGTTGAAAATATTGTTTTGTATTAAAGAAACAAAAAGTTACATGTAGGCTATTTCCTCAGAAGTAGGGCATAATACTGTTCATGATTTTAAGTTATTTTTAAAAGCAAGAAATTGATAGCTTGTAAATTTCTGGACAAACTGGACAAATAATAAAAATGAAAAAATAAAATATTCTTTGCTAAATGAAAAAAAAAAACAAATTTATCTAAAGCACAAAAGAATCTTATACACTCATATTGAGTAATAAAATCAACACTGTGAATTTAGTTCCCATACCAAACAAATCAGTGATTCAACAAAAATTGTAATGCAGGTTAAACGATTATTATTTTTAATGCTAATGTTTCCTAATCACTCTTGTTTAAAATAATCCTCGCCAACTCCTTTTATCCGATTCCTTGTGATTAAAATATGGAAATAGATATCAAGTAACTCCTATTGAAAGGGCTTGTTTTTGGCAAACATTTAATCAACTATACAGTTTATGAGATATACAGAGTGTGTCAAAAACAAAATCCAATTTTAGCAGCATTCCACGAGTTGACCATAAAGCACTCCATCTGAATAAACTGTTGAAGCATAATGTATAATACCGATTTAAGATTAAAAGCAACCCTCGTAAAAATTCATGTTCCCTTTTTTAACAAATATTTTGAATTAGGTTCAATACTCTCTGGAGTCAAAACCAAACTACAGTACAGTCCACGAGAGTCTGCAGTTGAGGGAGGAGCCTATTTACCACATGACTTCGAAGTAGCCAACGAGGACCACCTGTTGTTGCCAAATCTAATAATACCAGCTGATTAGAAAATTTTGTTTAGTATATTTTAATTAGAGTCGAAAATTAGTGAACGATACAACGTCGCACTAGTCTTGTCTTGTGATTGGCTACCGCCAACTGCAGACTCTTGTGGTCCCTACTGTAGTTATCACCTACCATGCAAAAACTTGTTCCTTGAGTTAGTCATTATTACACCTATTTACAAATAATCTGTAATGCAAAGAGGTAACAGAAAATATAAGGTAGTGTACCAAAATGTTTTGTTTCCATGGAAATTGTTAGCTTGAGTGAGTTGTGTCACACATAAATCTTATGCTGTTATGCTGTGTCAAAGTACGAGTGGAGGATATACGACCCTGGCATCCTTCAGACAACAAAACCCAGGCAGAAAAGAACTGTTCGGAGGTGGGTATCCGAACCTTCACAAGTCCCAAGTTAAAACGCTTTTAAACTTGTAGTTGTTATCAATGTGATATGCCACTCAGTACCTACTCTGTTAGTAACAAAGTGATATTTATTTTATTAAGTACAAATTATTTTTAATTAGATTTTAAATTTGTGTCTCAAGGTAGTTCACGAGTTTCACGTTCCTCCTCGATCACATTGCAAATACCTCATCATGTGACCACAGTTTATGACAGGGCTTTAGTTGTCACTGCTTCCCCGTCTGTGGAACGACCTACCACCTACCCCTGCACAATAAATAAAAAACGTTTCCTATTTTTTGGCGACACTGAAATGTCTCTACTTTGAGCAGATGGTCTTGGCTGGTGTGTCCTAGGACTGCCGTGTTTTTGCGCGATTACTGCTATGTAATCACTTCATTAGGGTATGTTATCATATCATGCATTAGGTTATGTGTTTTACTTGATTTGCTTTATTATTTTTTTTTCTTTCCTTATCTGCTTTGTAAATATAAAATATGTATATTTATAGGTAAGTATACAAATTGTAGGCTACATTAGATTAAGTTCTTCATTTGTAATTTATTCATTTTGTATTAGTCAGGTTAAGTGTTAGAATGGTTCATCCTAACTTTGCCTGAATAAATAAAGGATTTTTCATTTTATTTCATTTCATATTTAGCCTACTGCAAAATACTCATGTTTGCCTCTTTTGCAGTAATTTTCATTAAAAACTCCATTGGTTACCGGCCATCAAATTATGCATGGGCTGGCCAAGAGACTGATTTTATTTTTATTTTGGTCCATTTTATTCTAAATTTATCAGGCTCTTCTGACATTTGCCCAGAATGCTACACAGCCAGTCTGCCTCTGGCACAAGATAATTAATTCTCAAGCCTATTTCAAGCCATGGACCGTGTAAAGTCGTAAAAAAAACAATTAAACCACCTATTCTCAAACCAAAATGAAATAATGACAAATAACTGGAAGCACGTCCAATGTAATAGTTTTATGTAATATTTTTTTTAGAAAGCAACAAATTCAAGGAGGACAACAAAAGACTTAATTTTTTTCGCCAAAGGTACAAATATTAACAGCTAGGTAAATATACATACTGAGTTAGAAAATGAAATTAATAAATATTACATGAAGTAGCTATTTAAAGTTAACAAATTCAAATCTAATGGAACACATTTAAGATGACAGCAGAACTTCCAATTTCGATTATTGATAAGATGTAGTGCTAAGACATGCTGCAGCAACAGTAATAAAGCTGTCGAATATGAACTGACATATTCAGGGCAAAATATATGTTTAGATTTTTTTCTAGGGTCCAATGGGGAGGTTTCAGCCCCTCCCTTAGAACTACCACAGGTAACTGCAGTGAGGATGTAATCATAGATTCCCAGGATACTTTTGTTTAATAGACAAAAGTATCTTTATTACTGAACTGAATGTGTACAACTTGTAAAAGAATTCAAATGTAAACAATAACAATAAAGAAATAATATAACATATGATTATAAGCAGATCAAGGAATACTTTTAACCAAACATGCCCCTTTTCACAAATCTAATTTTTTTGGAGCTTTGACTATCCTTGTTCTGGTACGTTCAATGAAGGGTCGAATATACCACGAATTACGACACAACTTTCTCCCATTTACTTCAACAATGTATGATCTGTTTCCCAGCACATCAACTATTAACCCTTCTTCCCACTGAAGGTTGGAAACATTCCTGATTAATACTTTTTGCCCCTTCATGAAAACACTGGTTTTCTTTAGTGCTGATCTATTATACTGCATACCCTGGCCAAGTTTGCTTGTCACTTCTTTATCATCAATAATCTGTGGTTTAAGTTTTGATGGTATTACAGGTAACTTAGTGTTCAGAACTCTACTTTGAAGTAGTTGTGAAGGAGAATACCTAAGATTCGCAACTGGAGATGACCGATAATTTAGCAGATATAAACTAAAGTCTGACTTTTCATGCTTTGACTTTTGCAACATTGACTTAACTATGCCCACTGCTTTCTCCGCGAGTCCATTACTGCGAGGATAATGGGGACTAGTAAACTTTACTTCAAACTTCCACAATTTACTGAAGTCAATGAATTCATAAGAGTTGAATGGGACATTGTCACTTACAAAAATACTTGGTATTCCAAAACGAGCAAAAATTGACTTCAATGCTGCAATGACAGTTGTTGCTTTTTTATCTCGAATTCGCTCAACTTCAATCCATCTTGAGTAATAATCTATTAACACTGAATAACTTTGATTGTCGAAATCGGCTATGTCTGCTGCTACCTTGTAAAAAGGCATGTCAAAAACTTCATGAGGTTGAAGTGGCTCTTTCAATTTTGCTCGCATAAACTTAGCGCAAGTAGCACAGCTGTCAATAAGATTTTTCAAATCTGAAATTAATCCAGGCCAGTAAACAAGTTCTTGAGCTTTCTTCTTTAACTTGTTGAATCCCAAGTGAGTTTCATGGAGTGTCTGTAAAGTATACCTTCGCATAGATAGTGGCACTATCAACCTTTCGTTAAAATACACTAGTCCATCTTGAACTGTTAGGTCATTTCGTATTCTAAAATAATGCATTAGTTCATGGTTATTCGGCGAAACTTTGCTGGGCCATCCTTCTTGATAAAACTGCATAACTTTGTGTAAGGATTCGTCTTCATTTGTAGATTTTATGTACTGATCCATTGTTTTTACATTTATTGTAACTTCATGAACTGAGTGAATAACATCCAACATACTTTCATCTTCTTGTGATTTTGTAGGAGCACACTGTCTTGAAAGAAGATCTGCAACATATAGTTTATTTCCTGGAACAAACTTCACATTGAATGAGTACTTAAGTAACTTCAGCCGCAACCTTCTTAAACGATTGTTCTTTATTTGATGAATTTGCTTATTGAAAATTGATAGCAAAGGAGAATGGTCCGTTTGTACTTCAATGCTGAAGTGTCCATAGGCTAAGTTATGAAACTTTTCAAAAGCATATACAATTGCAAGTAGCTCTTTCTCAATCTGTGCGTAGTTCTTTTCACTTTCAGTAAGTGACCTGGATCCAAACATAACAGGCTTCCCATTTTGGGACAAGGAACAACCAAGAGAATAGTTACTTGCATCTGCTTGAATAGTTATTGGAGAGTCAAAATCAAAGGGACTAAATAAAGCTGCCGCTGTAATAGTTTCCTTCAGTTTGTCCAAATGACGACTGTGTTCAGGGGTCCACTGAAAAACTACATTCTTTTTCAACAACTCTTGAAAGAATGAGCAGTGCTCTGCTAAGTTAGGAATGAAAGGCCTAAGATAATTCACAGTGCCTAAAATTCGTTGAAGTTCTGTCTTATTCTTAGGTATTTCCAGTTCATTAATAGCTCTGATTCTTTCACAGTCAGGCTTAACACCATTACAATCAAATTCTTGTCCTAAAAATCACACTTTTTCAACAAAGTATTGAATTTTATCCTTATTCAGTTGAATGTGGTTTTTCCTTGCTACATTGATAACTTCAAGTACAATTTTGTACAACTCTTCTTTTGTTTCTGCTGCACACAGTATATCGTCAAAGTACACTACAACCCCCTTAACGTCACTAAAAAACTTTGATGTTGTTTCATGAAAGTACTCTGGAAGAACTGAGAGACCAAATGGTGCTCGTAAATAACGATAAGTGCCAAACGGAGTGCTAAATGTACACAGTTTTGAAGACTCTGGATCCAAGGGAACCTGATGGAACCCATCCTTCAAATCAAACACACAGAAGTATTTTTT